TGATGATGATGATGATGATGATGATGATGAGGAGGAGGAGGAGGAGAAGGAGGAGGAGGAGCGATGGTGTGAATGGCGGCCTTTCTCTCTCCTCCTCCCCTTCTGCAAGCTGTCTCCTCAATTGCGACCGATCCCTTGGTATGGCAGGGCGCGCAACACCGGACAGGCCCGCCGCAACCAAGTGGCCGGGACCGATATGCGGACGAAGGCGGACAGCGCAGCTTCAGCGCTCTGAGAGGCGGGCAGGAATCAGGTCGGTGGTGTACTTTTCCAGCTCCGCCATGCTCGAGTACTTGGCCACGTGGGGCTGCCTCATGTTCACAAACAGGTCAGTGGAGTTCAGCCCTGCGGTTGCTGATGCCACCGCGGCGCTCTGCGCAGGCTGAGGATGGTGCGACGCAGGCTCCGAAAGAGCACAGGAAAGCGAGTCCCACGTCCAGTTACGCACAGGAGCATAAACCATACTTCTGCATCATTAGCAAGGTAAGGCTTGACACTCCTCCTCCTCCTCCTCCTCCTCCTCCTCCTCCTCCTCCCACGAATCCTTTTCCCTCTTCGCCACCTTCGCCTGCTACTCCTCTCCCCCTTAGTTAACCTCCTTCTCCTCCTCTCATATCCCCTGCTCTTTCCGCTTTCCGCTCCTCTGGACGCGGCTCCCGAAATAACCACCTCATTTTCACACGATCCACCACAACTAGCGACACATACACACACACACATCAGAACCAGGACGGACAAATGCTCAGCCCGACTCCTCCCAACAACCGTCCCGCCTCTCGGCCATTACCTCGCGGAGCCCACTGACCCCGCCGACACGGCGGGTTTTTGAAGGTGCAAGACATCATACAAACTGTCCCGAGAAAGACAGCGGCTGCTGCGCGGCAGACCCCAACCGCGTTCAGAAAGGGGGGTGGCGAGGAGAAGAGCGAAGATTTTGTTGTTTGGCATCCACAGCCAGAGACCCCCCCCATCGTGGGGGCAGATCCTCTCGAGATCGGCAGTGGCCCCGACCCTCTCTTGTGGCCAGGGTGGAGCCCTCTGCCCGATCCCGCCCGAACTGCAAAGCCGAGCGGGCGGCCTGCTCAGGCCTTGCGAGAGGAGAGCGAGCAGGAGGCGCAGGAGGCGCAGGAGGCGCAGGAGGAGCAGGAGGGCGCGGAGGACGGGCGCGAGGCCGAGGCCGAGGGGAAGCGAGGGGCAGCGGCGAGAGGACAGGCACCCTGCACGCATCCCAGCCTCCCCCCTCCGCCTTCACTATATAGCGGCCTCCCGACAGGGGGGCGCGAGCAGATGGGGTCGTTTTTTTGTGTGTTATATATCTATATATATATATATATATATATATATATATATTATATATATATGGGGGGGGTGGGGGCGGAGGCCCACGCCGCATCGCCGATGCCTCTGCGGTGCACCGGCGACGTCGGCGGCGCATCGGCGGTGCATCGGCGACGTCGGCGGTGCATCGGACCCCATTTGTGAGGCCGCGATTCCCCCCCCCCTCTCTGAAGGGGCCCCGGGACACACAAATAGATACACACAAATAAAAAGATCCCCCCTATTTTCAAAAACAAAAAAAAAATGTAGGGTGTTGGTCTTCCCGCCCACTTCCCATATTTTTGCATATTCTCCTGGGAGTCGACGATCAATTGTGTCTGTGTGTTTCTTTCCCTCCTGACTCCCTCCGAGAGAGAACCAGGCCTCGCCCCCCCCCGACCTCATCGCCCCGGGCTGCGCCCCGGCTCCTGCCCGGCGCAGGGGCCCTCGAGCAGGGTGCCACATGCGGACCCTACCCCTACCCCCCACGACTTCCCCTGACCTTCCAGGAGGGCTAAAACACAGCACCCGACTTAAAGACCAATCCCAAAGCCATTCTACGTCTTGGTTTTAGGCTGTTTCGCTCAGCTTTTTAGGTTTTTAGGACTCCAGTGCTAAAACATAGCTCCCTGGAAGGTCAGGGTCTGAGGGGGAGGGTGGGGCTCCCTTCGCTCGCGCGCTCCCGAGCGGAGTGAACCCCGCCCTCCCCCCCAGAAGTCGTGGGGGGTAGGGATCCAGGGTCCGCATGTGGCCCCCTACTGCTTGTCCGGCGCCAGGGCGCGACCACGGCCGGAGGATCGATGTGGATCGTTGTCGCCGTCGTCGTTGGAGGGGGAGGAGGAGGAGGAGGAGGAGGGGAGGAGGAGGAGGAGGAGGAGGAGGAGGAGGAGGAGGAGGAGGAGGAGGAGGGAGGAGGAGGAGGAGGAGGAGGAGGAGGGGGAGGGGGATGGGGGAGGGGGGGAACGGGGAGGAGGGAGGAGGAGGAGGAATAGCGCGAGCAGTTTGTGCCTCCTCCGCGCTCGCGCCGCGCTCCCGCGCGCTCGCGACCGGGCTCTGCTCGTGGCGGGCGCGTGCCTGCTGTCGCGGGCCCCTGGCCCGGGGTGTGCTCGTGCCGCTGCCGAGGGGCGGGCCGCCGCCACGCACCGTCCGGGGCGGGTGGCGCAGTCTTTTTGATCCGCGGTTCGAGAGCGCGCCTCCTCCGGTCGAAGCTAAGCGGGCCGCGCGAGGCTTGAGTGAACCAGAGAGGCGGGAGGAAAAGGGGGGCGCGGCCTCAGAACGATGGCCGGGAGGAGGCACAGCCAACCGGGCGGGTGGCGCAGGGAGGTGACCCAAATTCGGCGGTGGACGGCTGCGTCCGACAGGACATCGAGCCGAAAAAAAAAAAAAAAAAAAAAAAAAAAAAAAAAAAAAAAAAAAATCGGCGGCGAGCGAGGGCGGGAAGCGAGAGGGGGGCCTAGGCCTTCTCGGAAGGCGGCGGGGCCTCTCAGGAGGCCCCTGGCCTTCTGAGAGGCTGCCTGCGTCTTCGGGGCGGGCTCCGTGATGGGCGAATAGTCCACCACCGCCACTATACTGCAGGTCGGACCGGGGAGAAAGGAGGATGGGGGGGTCCTCCTCCCCCTCCTCCTTCTGCTCCTCCTCCTCCTCCTACCTGTGGTAGTGGTGGTGGAAAATCGGCCCATCACTCAGAACATCTGTCCAAAGGCCGAGGGACTTCCGCGAGCCTTCCGCAGAGGCCCGCCCCCCAAGCGGGGGGGCGGAGGGCATCAGAGACTGCCCGCCCTCCCCCCCCCCCGAGGCCACCCGAAGCCGAAGCCTCTCGGGGTGCCCCCCCCCCCCCGCGTTGCCCCCACGAGAGGCCCCGCGCACGGGGCCCTCACGAAGACGAGGCGGCGGCACGCAAAGCACTCGCTCCTGAGTCGGGCCCTCGCTCGCTGCCGAACTCCGGCCGCCTCCCAGCGACACCCGCCGCCTGCCCCGAGGATCGACGCTCGGTCGCGATGCCTGCCAGCGAGCCCCTCGGCCCCCGAAAAGGGGAGGGAGGAGGGCCTCTATAGCCTGCCCGGGGCCGCCCCCCCGAGGCCACCAGGAGCCTCTCGCGCGGGGGGCCCCCCCCCGCGGTGCCCCCGAGAGGCCCCGCGCACGCAGCCCCTCGAGAAGAAGAGGCGGCACAGAGCACTCGTGCCCAACTCCGGTCATCTTCAACTCTGGCCACTTCCAATTCGGGCCACGACTTGTGAGTGAAGGGTGCCGCAGAGAGCGAACCCGGGACGGCCCCAGCAGGGCTGGAGCCAGCCAGCGCTCTTCGTTCCCGTTTTGCTTTCGTTCCCCCTCGATTCCGTCATCGTGGCGCCCCTGCTGCGGAACGAGGTCAGAACGAACACGGTCCACGAGATCCCCCAAAACACCGTTTCGCTCGAGCCCCGCCTGGGCCCCCGCGTCGGACAACGGATCGGCCCCGGCGGAAGCCCCCACGAGCCCCGTCCTCGCCAGACTTATGTCGGGCGTGTCCCCCTACAGGGGGATTTTTTCGACGGGAAATAACAAATACTCCCCCAAATACCTTCAAAAGGCAAAAAAAAAAAAGACTCAAAAAATAGTCCCCAGACTATTTTTGGATTATTTTTGGAATATTTTTGGCTCCAAAAAAATAATCCTCAGGCTCAAAAAATAGTCCCCAGGCTCAAAAAATAGCCCCCAGGCTCAAAAAATAGTCCCCAAGCTCAAAAAATAGTCCCCAGACTATTTTTGGATTATTTTTGAATTATTGTTGGCGTATTTTTGGCTCGAGCTCGAGCCCTGCCGGCAGGCCTCCGCGCGCCGGGCAGCGCAGCGGCCCCGGCGCGAGCCCCGGCGAGCCACGCCCCTCGCCGGCCTGCCGCGCCCTGCCGGGCCCCCCTCGGCGCCAAGGCGCCGACCACCGCCGCCTGCGGATAGGGGGCCACATGAGAACCCCAACCCCTACCCCCCCCAGATGGTCTGGTACCGGAAATTTTCGGTAGCGATTTCGACGCACCCCGAATTTCGGTAGCGACCGGAACATCGCTTGAGGGCGTTAAAATAGCGGATTTCAGAACGCTCTGATACCGGTATTGGGCGCTACATTTCGGTATCCCGGTAGCGACCGATCTCTGCGGAGCGCTACCGGAAATTTTCGGTAGCGGACCATCAGGGGAGGGTGGGGTTCACTTCACTCGAAACCTCCCGAACGAAGTGAACCCCACCCTCGCCCTCAGAAATCGTGGGGGGCAGGGGTAGGGTTCGCATGTACCTCGGGCCACATCCCAGAAACAATCTCGAGCACCCGGAAAAGCGTCGAAGGAGTGTCGAAAGAGTGCCGAAACAGTGTCGGACGAGTGTCTTCCAGGGCCCGACACGGGTAGGGTCCGTATGTGGCCCCCTAGCGGAGTCGACGCCACGGCTTCTGCACGCGCGTGCACCCCAGCGACGACGTGCCCCGGAGCTGCGCGTGCCGCCCCGGGGGAGTGCCTCTGCCCCCGCGGCGGCACCGGGTGCAGCGTCGTATGGGGCGTGGTGTTGAGAGAGCGCCGGCTCGGGAGGGCTGCCTCTGCCGAGAGCTCGGTTCCTGAGCAAAGGGCTGGCACGGACCCTGAGCCTCCAGGAGGGCAAAAAAATAGCACGCGACTTAAAAACCTATCCCAGAGCTATTATATGTCTTGGTTTTAGGCTGTTTCGTTTCGTGTTTAGGCTTTTAGCCCTCCCGTGCTAAAAAGTAGCTCTCTGGAAGGTCAGGGGAGCTCTTCGTCCCGAGGCGTCTTTGGGCGGCCCGGGCCTGGGAAGCGGGCCCGCGAGCCCGAAGGCGGCCACCCACACCTGCACGGCCCGTTCCCCTCATGGCCCCTCTCCTGCACGGCGGCGGCAGTCGGAGCTCAGGAGCCGAGGCCGGCGCCTCCACCCCTTGTCTCGCACGCATCGGGGCCGGGCACGTGGTTCTCTATCTGGTTGCCACTCTGGCGGGTTCTCTGCTCCATGATGCAGTCAGCCCGTAGAGTAAGGCTGCGCGGTAAGGATGCAAGGGCCTTGGAGGGCCATGTCGACGCGCTGCGGGCGGGGCGCGGCAAGCGAAAACGGCCAAGGATGCGCCGAAGGGGAAGGAGGTAAGGATACCCTTGGAAAGCCGCTCATCCTTACTATGCGGGTCGACTGCAGACTTATGTTGCTCCCATCGTAGTAAGCCACATCCCAGACAACAATTCGAGCACCCGGAAAAGTGTCGAAAGAGTGTCGAACCAGTGTCGGACGAGTGTCTCCCAGGGCCCGACGCGTGAAAACCCTCGAGTTTCGGTACTCTTCTGGTGCTCGAAAATCTTTCTGGTGATCAAGGCTAAAAAAAAAGGTTGGAGCATCAGAATCTTGGCTCCTCCTCGAACCCGCTGCAGGCGCACATTGGACACTGCCCGCCAGCAAACAAGCTGCTCCTGGCGCCCCCCTCCCCCCAACAAAACTGCTCTGCAAGGCCACCCACGGCAAGGCAGTAGTTACATGTGCGCGCGCGGGGGGGGTTCTTTCTGGTGATCAAGGCTAAAAAAAAGTTGGAGCGTCAGAATCCTAGAGCTTCCAACACCGTGACGTTCACGAGCAGCCGCGTGGCTTCAGACCGAGCGCCACGGGGAGGCAAAGAGGGCCGACGGCTCCGAGCTCGGCAAGCTGCCCGGGACACCCAGCGCTCTCCGACGTCGCCGGGCAGGGCGCGCCTGCCCTGATGGTCCGCTGCCGAAAATTTCCGGTAGCGCTCCGCAGAGATCGGTCGCTACCGAAATACCGAAATGCAGCGCCCAGTACCGGTATCAGAGCGTTCCGAAATCCGCTATTTCCACGCCCTCAAACGAAGATCCGGTCGCTACCGAAATTCGGGGTGCGTCGAAATCGCTACCGAAAATTTCCGGTACCAGACCATCTGGGTGTGGCATGCAGTGCAGGCCCGTGGGTGCAAGACGAGGCCAGGACGAGGGTAAACTCGCCCTGACCTTCCAGAGAGCTATTTTTTAGAATTGGAGGCCTAAAAACCTAAAAAACGACACGAAACAGCCTAAAACCAGGACATATAATGGCACTGAAATAGGTTTGTAGGTGGGGTACTATTTCTTAGCCCTCCTCGAAGGTCAGAGCGGGTGGGGATAAATCGAGGATCTCTGGGATCCAACGGCTCTGAAGATGTATCGGGCGCCGCGGCCTTCTGAGAGCGTTCCGGAACGCTCTGAGAGCATGCCAGGACGCTCTGGGCCGGACTTATCCTCGTCGAAGCCCCGTCCGCCCATCCCTGAATGGGGACGAAAGGGGGAAGTAGCTCCTCGGGACCTCTGCCTGGTGCGACTGCTGGCGACAGTGCGTCCTTTGGGGGAGGGACTCCAGCTGCTCGAAACAGGCGCCCAAAACAGCCACGATCCACTCCAGGGGGGGGGGAGGGGGAGTCCGAGGGCCCGCGCCGCTCGGCAAAACAACAAATAAAACAACGATCACACAACACGGCTCTCCGGCAGCCGTCTGGGACGATCCAGGCACCCCGGAACGCCTGTCGGCGAGGCGCCCGCAGCTGCGGGAGAGCATCCCGAGGCTGGGAAGCCGCCGAGAAACGGCGAGAACACCCGAAGACCTCGAACCTCCATCCTCCCCCCCTGTAGAGGCCTCCTAGACGTATGTTGCTCCCATCGTACTTAAAGACCACCGCCCAGAAATAAATTCGAGCACCCAGGAAAGGTGTCGAAAGAGTGTCGAAGCAGCGTCGAAACAGAGTCGGACGAGTGTCTCCCAGGGCCCGACACGCGAAAACCCTCGAGTTTCGGTACTTTTCTTGTGCTCGAAATTCTTTCTGGTGATCAAGACTAAAGTAGGTTAAAACATCATAATCCTAGACGGGGTCCGAGTAGATGGGGTCGGAAGATCTCGCCGCATCGCAGATGCATCGGCGATAGATCGCCGATGCTGCATCGGCGATGCATCGGCCGTGCACTGGCGACGTCGGCGATGCATCAGCGACGTCGGCGTGGAGAAAAATTGGATCCCACCTCGAGCCGCTCCGCCGATGCATCGCCGAGGCGCCGGCGACGCGGCACGATCCTCCGACCCCATCTAGTCCGACCCCATCTAGGACTCCTCCTCCTCCTCCTCCTCCCCCTCCTCCTCCTCCTCCTCCTCCTCCTCCTCCTCCTCCTCCTCCTCCCCCTC